AATTATGTCAAACCGCCCGCACCCACATAATGAAAAAAGCCTCCCAGAATCGCAAACGGGCTTTAGCACCAACCGCTGTATCGTTGATTCCATATTCTCCGTCCGCCAACTACAGGAAAAAGTAAAGGAGCAGCAGAGTAAACTTTATATTGTATTCATCGGCCTACCAAAAGTCTTCGATACTAAACAGAGAGGCACTTTGGGAAATTATGCAAAAGTTCGGAGTACCTAACAAATTTCTTACAGTGTGTAAAAGCCTCCATACCAAGAACAAGTCTAGAGCGTCCCATCATGGATCACTGAGCGATTCCTTTCTACCAAATTCAGGAGTTAGGCAGGGATGTGTCTTAGCGCCTCTCCTATTCAACATGTTTATAGCAGCGCTCTCTATTATAGTGAACAGCAAACTGCAGGAAAGAGGAATGGGCAGTAGATACAGAGGGCGGTCTGTTCAACATAAAAAGACTCAGGGCAAAAACACATGTAAAATTCATCACAGAACTTCAATACGCTGATGATTGCGCTCTAGTTGCAAAAGTGTTACAGAAATTACAAGAAATGCGGAACACATACCTTAGCATAGGAGGATTTGGGCCTTAAGCTCAATATCGATAAAACTAAAATCATGTGCACTCCCCTAGAAAATTACAACAATGCTATAAAAATCGGTGAAGAACTATTGGAATATGTAGCGGAATTCAATTACCTCGGCAATTTAATTTCGGAAAAGGCCAATGTCGACTCTGAAATTCAGCGCAAAGTTCGTACAGCCAGCACATGAATGCATTAAACAAGTTGCAACAGAGACACCTTAGACAACTGTTAAGAATCAAATGATACCACCATTTCTCAAACGTATCGGTCCTTGAAAAAGCTAGCTGCGAGAGCATTGAAATCATGGGCTAACGTATGCAGGATGCAAGAAAATCGCCTACCAAAATCTCTTCTGTACGGTGAGCTTGTAGAGAGTAAGAGGAAACCGGGTGGACAACTCAAAAGGTACAAGGATATTGTCCACGAAAACTTAAAGGGGATAAGCATGCAGAATCAGTGGGAGGAAGCAGCGCACAATAGAACGCAATTGAGAAGAATTGTAAACTCAGTTGACAACGACAACCAAAAAGTAAGGAGCCAACAATCAGATTATTGAACGTTCGGAGTGCGGAAGACAGATAACGTCACGTATCTGGCTTTTTAGTTACAGAAAATCTCATGAAAGAAAACGCTTTGCGTAACCATCTTCTGATGTGTGTCAAATAGATACTCGTCAGCGAGTAATAGCTTGAATACTGACCGGCGAAGTTTTAATTACTTTCTTTTATATCCTTTACTACTGGATTTTTTTACCTTGAGAATAACTATAGCTATATAGTAAAACAAGAAAATATTTGCTTTTTTTATCATCAGAACGAATATCATTCGTTGCCTTGTGAGCCATACTTTATATAAATAAAATATGATATGTTCATTTGTTTGGAATAATTAATTAAGTAATTATTTATTAGATAGATTGTATTTATTAATTATTTCAGAGCCGTTACTGTTAATGCTTTCAATAAATCTTTTATGGCAAATTTTTTGTTACTTTGTTATTTATGAACTATATTTTTTAACTTATTATTTTTCCTTAAATACATATATTTAAAAAAGTACTATATGTATTATTTAACTGTGGTTTGGGAGATATCAAGAAATAAGCTATAAAATTATTATTAATAAATTAATTATTAAATATTAATTATTAACTTAAAAATTAAACGTAAAAAATATTTAACAAATGATATAATAAATATACTATATCCCAATTTTACATTAAAATTGGGATATAGAAAAATGTTTTTTTACGACTGCTATGTAAAACTTTAAAAAACGCACGCCAAAGTCAATCTGAAAGTGACGTTTTTCACACACCATGCGCAAATTTTGTAGTGTGCTATCTTTGCGCACGCTTACCTTAAAGGTGAAAGTCCTGTTAATAATTGGTATGTAAAGTTGTCGCCGCGTAACCAGAGACAACAACATTGCCAACATTGTCTCTGGCGGCGAAACGTATTTGTCAGTGTCATATTGTTTGAAAAGTAATTCATAGATAAACGAAACAAGTTTAGATTGGAAAGTGCCCATAAGGACAATGTAAACACTATTTGGCGCTATTCTTGCAACGGTCGCGACCCAAAACTTTTGAAAATTTCGGAGCGGTTCGGCTTTTTCCGGAATTATATCGCCAAATATTGTTTATTCAAATTTATTATTATTTTCGTTTAATTTTATAAATTAAAGACAGTGTGTTGCATAAAAGAAACTTTATTTTATATAACTTATATTATATTTTATATAACTTATTATATATTGGAAACCGACCTTATGCCACGATCCACGATGGTTTTTGCAGTTCACAGTTCACAGCACAGCATTTTAAGTTTTTAATGCCACTTTTTCACAATTATCACCGGTTGGAGTAAATAAAACTTGAATTAAACTCACAAGATAGCAATAATTACTTTGAAAATGGATGCTATAAACACTTTTCGGAATTTCTTTAATGAGAGCGGTTTAGATTTTGAAAGATTATTATGATTTTTGAAGATTCTGACTTTGACAAGAGAAAATTATTTCTGTTTTTGTTTGCCGTTGTTCTTAGCGATCGCTATAGCAGCGCCAGATCGCGTATAACGGTCGCGACCCAAAATAATTTCGCGACCTAAAATTTTTACGGGCTTTCCAATCTAAACTTGTTGCATTTATCTATGAAGTAATTCAACTTAAATATCAGATTTCCCTTAATCTTCGGGTAATGGAGCACACAATTTAATCCACCGATCCTTTCGAATTGACGCAGCAAGCCGCAAATATATCGTTGAGTCTATTACCTGAAAAATCTCGGGAACGTTATGAAACTGCATATAACAAGTTTATGGTTTGGAAAGACAACAAAATTATTAAATCCCTTTCTGAAAATATGGCGCTAGTCTATTTTGAAGAAATTTCGAAGAAGTCGTCCACAACGTCGATTTGGGTAATTATATGAAACTGGTTGCTTTCCTAAAGCGAAAATCAGAAAAGAATTTTTATCGGTTCTTATCTACTGTTCCAGACTATAAATATTTGCTTGTTAAGGTACTTTACTCAGATAATAATATTAATAAATAATATAGTATATCTTAACTTCTTAGACTGTCGTGACAATTGGACTAACAGGAGCTTGCAGGCGGGACGAGCTCTGCAGATTAACAACTGAGGATATCAAAGACCTTGATTCAGCAATACTGGTGCAAATAAAACACACAAAAACAGAAGTACCCAGATCCTTTACAATTACAGGTACTTTTTATGAAATTTGCAAGAAATATCTTAGTCTTCATCCCCAAAATATAACAGAAAAAAGTTTTTTTCTTAATTATCGCAATGGTAAATGCACAAAACAGGTTGTTGGTATCAACAAAATAGGAAATATGGCAAGAAAAATCGCCGAATTTTTGAATCTTCCGAATCCAGAAAAATACACCGGGCATTGCTTTCGGCGATCATCAGCCACAATATTAGTCAATGCAGTGACTTACTAACTTTGAAGCGCCACTCCATGGGGGCTGGCATTCCAGTGCCGTTGCCGAAGGATATATTGGTGAGTCCATTGAAATCAAAATACAAGTATCTAATAAAATAATGAAGTCTGTGTAGCCATCATCGTCCAACATTCCCTCAAAAATACCTTTGCAGCCTTTGCCAAGGAATGACCCAGCGACCCAATTATATTCGTTCGAATATTCTCTGAATATTGCAGAAAATTATGAAAATATAAGGGATATTCCAATAATTAATTTTAAAAACTGTTCTAAAGTTACCATTAATTATAACTTTAACAAGTAATTCAATTTTATTATATTTCAAAAATGTAAAAAATAGAAAACTTGTTCACCTGTTATTGTCATTAAATAATATTGTTGGAAATTTAAATAAATTTACAAAAAATATTAATTTGTTATTTTGTGATATGCAGTCGTAGAAAAAGTATAGTGTGCAACACGTTTGAAAAAGGCTCTTTGCACACTCGTGAAACTTTTGGCAATAAACCGTCACACCCGTGTGCAAAGAGTCTTTTTCAAAACTTATTACACAATATACTATTGTGTCCTCATCAACACACTTATAAAATAGTGTTTATTGTTTTTGTAATGTCACTGTCATTGAAAAGTCATATTATTATTGTTTATCGTCGTTTTCTCTAGTAGAGATGGATTTAAGTTATGAAGTATCGGCTATTGCTGCTTTAATTGATCATGGCTGAGATCAACTTTTAGACGTAAAACCTTACGTGCTAAAGTAACAGACAATAATAATATTATTTTTCCCCAAAGCCAGTGACATTACATAAATCATAACCACTATTTTATAGGTCTATAGACTAGGACCAAAAGCAAGGACATGGTTTTAACATAGAAAATTCAAAAAAATGTTAGTGTCTTGTTCAAAAGCGAATATCTCCAAAAAAAGCAATTGAGGTGAATAATCAAAAAACAAACTATCGAGAAAAGATACATATAGATGATAAAGTAATAGTAAAGTAATTTTTAAAATCCTTGTTTTGTTAACGTACTTCACAGGATGTTGCAAACTTTCACAAAAATATCAACATTTTGGTTTCCCTCGTATAATTGACAGATAGCATTTTCATTTTTAATTTAGAAAGTGGTACTAAAATTCAAATAATATAGCTTCAAATTGCTTAAAAAATCGTCAAAATCGGTCCACTAGAACACAATATATAATATAGAACTTTAGAATACATGAAAACTTTAAGGTGCCCATTTTTCGTGCCGGTGAGTGTAGTATTTCTATCATCTAATTTTAATTCAGTTGGGAATATTTTAGGTTCAAGATATTCTCTGGTGTCTTTTCCCTTGTATATTTTAAATAGAACCAAATTGCATATAGCTTTAAGATTCTAAATTGATTTCTAAACACATTTTGTGTATAATGTTTTACGTCTAAGTTTCACTTACCCCATAAAAAATTCCGAATTTGTTCTGGACATCGACTAAAGGCAAGCTACTTAAAACACTAAGAATACCTTCTTCATATCCATCAAAAAGTATTTCCTTGGCTGTTTTTCTAACATACAATTTGGAAATGCTCGACAGTGACATCGATATCAATCTTTTCAAGAAGAAACTAAAATTCTTTGCCTTGAAACCTATCGTCTAAAAAATATTTACATCACTTTACTAAAGAATAAAATGCATTTATTATCATTTATTACATTTACAGTGTTACCAAAAATTGCCCCAAATTAAGTTTCTTCTCTGAGATACCGGGTGTTTTTTTAAATTGACGTGGCTCACCCCTATTATTTTTGTATTTTTTATATAAAAAACACGATTTCGTATGTTAGTATAATGTAGACATAAATCACGATTGATTGACGTTTTCAATTACTTTCGGCTTCGGTCACTTCCTGTTTCACTGGAAATGACTACAACTTTTGATTTTAAAATGTTACCTTCCGGATTTTTTTTTACTTTATTTGGTAGAAAATGACATTCTAAATAGAACGACATATATCACATGTCAACTTTTGACATTTTCTCTCAAAAAAAATTGTATTGAAATTTCAATCATACTACCATACATCATCCATCATCATCATACATACACTGGTCATATATACATACACTTGACTCGATATACCAAGTATATGGTACCAAATTATTAGTAAAAAGGGCTTTTTCCAAAAATATGATAAAAAGCCACCCTCGTTCCAGTTGAAAAATTGAATTGAATAATACGATTTGGTCATCGATTGGAATTGGTCATTGATTGGAAAAGATACGAAAAACATTAGATGATCAAATCTGTTTTTCCAAGGTTCCGTAATTAAAAATTAGTAGTTTTAACGCAGCTATGGCACTCTACAGTATATCCCCGGATTGTTTTTACAAGAGGAAATATTTTTTATTATTGACATTTTAAGAATTTTTTTTTGTTTTGAGGGGGTGGTAAAAAACCTTTTAAAATCGATATCTAGATGGTAATAATTCACTTCTAAATTCATTAAATCTAATTCACTAAAAATCTCTATTTTTACAATATCAGTTGAGTTACAACTTATCAACTAACAAGAAAAATAATTAATTATAATCAGAAATTACATATGATAATATTTATCAAAGTTCAAACTGACGACTTTCAAAAAATATGCGATTTGTTTGCCTTTTTTTTTCGTAAACATTACAAGTTTAAACTATATTTTCACATAGAAGGCCATGTCAAGCACTATGACAACTCTAATAACAAAACAAATGGAGAGACAAATTAGAGAAACAAATGTTAAAAGAGACATTTCAAATAGCAGGTCGTAGTTTATCAAAAGTTTACGAAGTTTAAGCTGAAATGAGTTGTGATAATCGTAAGTATTATTAAAATCTATTATTTTTCGGTTTTGTAAATGAGAAATAGGAAAAAGCCAAGTAATGCCAAGAAGAAAAGTGCATTTTTCAATAGTCTGGAGTATTACCTTTTCGGCAATATATTTTAGTTTTTGCGGAAACTTGCGAAACAGTTTCTTTTTTCTTGTTTTAGGAATCATGTTTAACGTCTCTAGAAAAGCGTTTTTTCAAATATGGCATCAGTCTGTAAAGAAAAATTCGTATGAATCTTTGCTTCCAATTTTAATGGAAAACTATCAAGTGAGGACAGTTAATAAAGAAACTCAGGCTCGGTGGAAAGGCATTGTTTGCGATTTTTCAAAGAAAATTAAAGAAAGATGGGAAAAGTCGGGCAGAAAAATGAACTATTTTTTAAAGAAGTATGCGGACTGGTTAGATGGGGATGATTTAATTTTGCAAATGACTATTAATGATTGCACGGGGTCAGAACAACCGAGATCGTCCGGACGACCGCCAAAACCATTCGAAGAAGTTAAATATCGATCAAAGAAAAAAAAAGTTCAACATTTGCTTTCTTCCAGTGTTGAAGAACTAACGTTTGCAACTGAGGTTGCTTTCAGAGTTGATGGTAAAAGAGATGCAGTCAATTTAATAAAGGAAATTAGTTCAGCATCGCCAAATCGCTCAACCCAGATCAAGCTTTAAAGACGGGAAAAGGAAAACAAAAACGTGCGACAATACAGCAGGGATGAGGCTTTGGCTCTTTATGTAGATTTAAGATTGACAAAACAACAATCATATATTCATCTGAGAAAAAGTGCTCGTGAAGCAGGGCATTTCCTATATCCATCATATATTGAGCTGCAAAATGCAAAAAATGAATGTAGTCCATTAAGTGAATTTATTAGTGTTTGTGAGACAAAAGCAGAAATTGATCTTCAGGCGTTACTTGATCATACTGCGCAACGTTTGTCTATAGTGCAAGAATCCGTTTTAAAGCAATTTGCTTCAACTTCGATAAGGGTAAGTGAACTTATTATAATTAGTAAGTGGGGATCGATGGTAGTTCCGGGCATAGATATAAGCAAAAATTTAATAATTCTTTTGAAGCTGATGAATATTTGTTTACTTTTTCTTTTGTGCCTATTAAAATACACCCTATTAATGATCCGCAAACCCACATTTGGCAGAATCAAACCAAACCAAACCAGACTATGCCGTCCAATAAAATTGTTATTTTCAAAAGAAACAAATGATATGATGAATTTAGAAACAAAAGTTATTCAGAACCAAATTTTAAAGTTACGTCCAACGGAAGTCAGTCTTAGTAATGGAAACTTCAATAAATATCCATCATCAGCTCCTTTTGACGATGGTTGATGGGAAGGTGTGCAATACGCTGACTGGTAACAAATCTTCTCAGACCTGTTATATCTGCAAAGCAACACCAAAAACTATGAACTTAGAGCCAAATAAGGCCTCTATCATTGTTGAGAACTATGGGTTTGGCCTATATCTACTTTACATGCATGGATAAGATCTTTTGAATGTATGTTGCATATTAGTTACAAATTAAATTTAAAATCGTGGCAAGCAAAAGGCAGTGAATCTAAAGCTGAAGTTGAAAAGCAGAAAAAGTCAGAAATTCAAAGAAAATTTAAAATAGAAATGGGATTAATTGTAGATAGGCCAAAGCCTGATTTCGGATCAACCAATGATGGCAACACGGCCAGAAAATTCTTCCAAAGCCCACAAAAGAGTGCAGATATTACAGGTCTGGATAAATTAATAATAACTAGGTTTTTAGCGTCATTTTGCAGGCACTCTAATTACAGTGCCTGCAAAATGACGGTATGATGTAAATATTGAACAATTTGAGAAATACGCGGAAGGAACTAGAGAACTCTACCTAAGTCTTTATTCGTGGTATTATATGCCAGTTACCTTACATAAAATTCTCTTCCATGCAGGCGATATAATAAGAAATTGTTTGGTGCCTATTGGGCAACTTTCCGAAGAAGCTCATGAGGCATTAAATAAAAACTATACAAGATTTAGAGAGCACAACACTCAAAAAATATCAAGAATTGCCACGAATAGAGACTTACTTAGAATGCTTCTCATATCATCTGATCCTCTAATAACCAGTTACAGGAAAAAAAAACAAAAATCAACGTCAACATTTTCCAAAGAAGTACTTAGTCTTTTAAAATGCCTAGATATTAAAGCATCCCCACTTACTAATATTTCTGTAGATCACTTATCCGATGACGAAGCAAGCACAGACGAATCTGATGAAAATAAATTTTAAATTATTTATAGTTATACTCGTATGATAGAGTTACATGATATAATTATAGTCATATTTATTTATATACTTAGTCATTATTAAATTTAGTTAAATTAGGAACTGAAACTTATTTGTAATTTTTTTGTAATACATCATTTAATATTTATTTATCTTTTTTTCTAAAAATGTTAATAAATTATTTAACATTTTAGTTTTTTACATTTGTCCGAGATATAATTAAGTCTTTTTCCACATTGCAAACTATTAAAACATTTTTACCACCTACTTCTTTAAAATTGTCCACCGTGGATCGGACCAATATTTGATTATATTGCGTAGACCCAGGCTATGCGCTGATAGGCAATTTTTAATCGGCCGACTATTTAGGTGCATATTTGTAACCAATATATCCTTATGGAGCCGCGCTTACACGCAATCAAATAGTCGGCCGATCGACTTTATAAGTATGTGTTGTTTTCACTTTTGCAACTAGATAGTCGGCCGACTAAAAATTACAGGTTAGCGCGTAGACTTATTGTATCGAATTTCCCTTCAAAGTATCCATACTATTTAAAATCGTAAGTCAGGGAATTCAAAATGTCTTATTTTTCAAATTAATATTTTTTTATAGAAAATATGCGGTAATTGTTTTGAGTAGTGTATTAATTTTGATTAACGTCGTATTCTTTGTTGCTGTTAAAGTATCATATTTTCCGATAACTATCAGCACCCTTCCCGTAGCATTGAACTAAAAAATGTTGTGCTTCTTTAACATTTTAAAACAATAAAAAATATTACGTTAATTATATATAATTCTGTGAATAAAAATCTATCAAAGAATGAAAATGACGTTATATTACCATAGAAGCGCGTTTTGAATTTTAGAAATTCAACCATATTTTCATGTTTTTCTTAAATTTCTATAAAACGGTATGGAAATTAGGAAAATTATAAAAGGCATGAACCATTTTAGAATAAGCAAACATTTTTATGAAGAATGCACTTTTCTCAAAATGTCAATAATAAAAAAGGTTTTCCTCTTGCAAAGACATTCCGGGGACATATAGTAGACGGAAATTTTAAATACAATTTTTTTTAATTGAAAATGTCAAAAGTTGATATATGATCATTCAGATATTCAGAATTTTATTTTCTATCAAATAAAGTAAAAAAAGCAAAAAAAAATCCGAAAAGACCGAAAAATACCGGAAGTGACCGAAAATAGTAGAATACGTCATTCAATCCCGATTTATGTCCTATACTAACGCACCAAATCTCGTTTTTTTATCTGAAAAAATTAAGTTCTAGCGGTGAGCCAGTATTGAAAAACATCCGGTATTCAGCTTTAATCAAATACATATATTTTAACGCCAAAATTTTAATTTTTCTAAATGTAATGCTGGGGTTAAAACGTGAATTCCCATTTACAGGTGTAACTGAGACGTGACGTTTTATTCGTTACCAAAATAAGATGTGAATATGAATATCACCATTTAAACTACATATGTTGTTATCATGAAGTGATTCTATTCACGTGATGATTTAGAGATATTCAGAGGTACGTAACGCTAGTTTAACTAGGGTGTTTTTCTCATAAAAAATAATGTAGAAAACTGGAATTTAAAATTGGAAATTTGATACTAGTACCTATCTTGTATGATATAAATTACATTTTACGAAGTATATTTTTAAATCAAAATTAAGTACACTTGTTCCATCAAACTGGAAACGAATAAATTAGAAACTCACTATATCTCTCAAACTTTTCGTTTTTCAACAATTTTATAGTTGTTCTACTAATTAGTAGTAACAATAAAAAAAGATAAATGACTCTCGTCTAGAAGAGGAAATATTTTTTCTACATTGAGCTATTTTGAATACAAAAGATTAATTTGGTATGAACAGAGCTTTCTCAGATAATTTGTTGCTAAATAAAATATACCAGATTTGAATTTTCAGTTAAAGTTGGTTTTGGTTAGTTTAAATTCTGTTTAGTCCAGTTTAGTTAAAACACTTCCTGTCGTTCCAAATAATTGAATAAGAGAAGGACTAAGAATATTTTATTTAAACTGTTGAGTTATTTTATTTTTTTTATAATATAATTCTAGACGGTAGACAGGGATTTCACATAATCAGTTCAAGAAATTGTTTTTGGAATTTATTTTATGCACAAACTTGATTTTTTTTAAGTTTACTCCGAGGTGTACAGTATTATCATTTTAGTTCGACCCACTTTTAAAAGCTTATAACTTTTTTGTTTGTTGGGTTAAAGCAGTCATTTAAAAAACATGTTGACTTTATTTCAGTTGAATCGGAAGTGAATACCAATTTTTTATTTTTATAAAACCATAATAATACCTTATTAATTATAGTAATACCATAAACATGTTTTGGCATTGATTAAGTTTTATACTACTAGAATTTTTGTAGTAACTGATTTAATATTAAACTGCGTGCTTGTACTGTTTTCTTAGGTCTAATAAACTTAATGCAGAGAATAGCATATATTATGTAGGGGTTAGGCCGGATTTTGTTTTTTGTACTTTCTTTATATTCTGGTATTGATTCCAGCCTATTACAATTTATATTTTAACATTTTTACATATTATAATAACAAAGTTATTTTTACATTAGTAGCATAAAAATGCATACGTAATGCATATTGATAATAATAATGCATACGCTAATCTAAACTTAAATCATATATTAATTAATTTGATTTAACCAAAAGACTATAACTTACCAATGGGACTGTATTAATTGTTGTAATATTATCATCTTCCATTTTTCTTGGACTACTTTTTGAATCATAGTAATAAAACTTTCTAAATCGATAACTAATTGTACTGTTGTCATGCCATGTGAGATTAGTTTTTTCTTTGACTTCTTTTACACTAAAATAATAATAAAGAAGTTACTATAATAAAATAGCACTTGAAAAAGCCAGTGTACTTCGCCACTGAAAGAGAGTTAAAAAAATGTAATTTTCTGGAAAGCACCACTTCGTAGAATCCAAACTAGCTTGTGACTTCAGTAGTAAATAAAATTCTTCTATCCAACAAAAATTGCTTTACGTTGTAGGGGGTATATCTTATAAGGCCCCCACAGACTTAAAAATTTTAAACGCGATTATAATCGCGATCACCACAATTATTGACCTCCCGGATTGCACAACGTGTAAGGCTACGCGCAAATTGAGTCGCGTGAGACATGACCTGGCACGACATGGCGCGACCGGCATGACGCGACGGGCTACAAGCGCTTCGTAGTGGTCCACAAATTGGGACCGTACAAAAACGCCTGCATTTGCTATTACTGATTCGCCATCGAAATAATTATTGATACTAAACTTTAGTTCTGAATCAGAGTTTGATGATTCCGAAGAAACAAATTTACTGTATTCAACAATAAAAAAAATAATACACGCGACGCGCGAAAAACTGTGTCTGAACTAATGAGGTGCGCGCTGGTTATGTCACACGCGATCGGCGATAAGAATTGCCTGTGCTTTTATGACTACGTCAACAAATCCTTTACCGGTTATAGCAAGAACCCCGCCAATATATCTATTAGCCGCTCATCGAGCAGAGCTGGAAAAAGAAGGGAAAGGAAAAATTCAAGGATTATACACATGATGAAGACATTGCAACAAGAATGGTCTAATGAAGAAGCCATAGCAAGTTGGACAAGACGTCTTATATGAAATAGAGAGCCCTGGGTCTCCAAAAATCATAGCAAAGTTGACTTCTACCTAACACAAGTATTATCCAGACATGGTGACTTTGAAGCTTATTTTAAATGCTTCCACCTTAGGGATACGGATACTTGTCGTTACTGCGAACTGGTTGACAATATCGGACACACATTTTTCTATTGCGCAAGATGGAGCTTTATTAGACATGCTGTAGAAGAGAAAGTGGGTAAACTAACACCAGATAACCTAATCGACACCATGCTGAAGAATGAAATATTTTGGAAGGAAATAAGCAAAATGGCTAAGGAAATCCTTATGGAAAAAAAAGAAGAGAGAGAGAACGTATGATCCGATAGGTCCAAACCAGCTACATAGAACCCTCCTTCTGAAGTAATGCTAAGGTGGTTCTAGAAGGAGATACATTAATGTTCTGAGGGTTATTTTAGTCAGTAAGAGTCTGTCACTACATCGGTTGTCTTACCAAGTGCCCATGATGTTTTTTTTTCTTGCAAAGCTTTTTTATTTCTTTCTTTGCAAAACAAAAAATTTCTTGCAAAAATTATGTCAAACCGCCTGCACCCATATATAGAAAAAATCCTTCCACAATCGCAAACCGGTTTTCGTACCAACCGCGGCACCGTCGCGCGTCGATTCCATATTTTCCATCCGCCAACTACAGAAAAAAGTAAAAGAGCAGCAGTCTAAACTTTATGTTTCATCTATCGATCTAACAAAAGCCTTCGACTCTGTGAACAGAGATGCGCTTTGGGCAATAATTATGAAAAAGTTTGGAGTACCCAACACATTTCTTACAGTGTGTAAATGTCTCCATGACAACAACAAGTCAAGAGTGTCACATCATGTATCACTGAGCGATCCATTCCTAACACATACAGGAGTTAGGCAGGGATGTGTCTTAGCGCCTCTCCTATTCAACATATTCATGGCAGCGCTCTCCTTATAGTGGACAGCAAACTGCAGGAGAGAGGATTGGGCATTAGATACAGATACGACGGCGGTCTGTTCAACATAAAAAGACTCAGGGCAAAAACACATACAAAATTCATCACAGAACTTCAATACGCTGATAACTTCGCTCTAGTTGCAAACATGTTACAACAATTACAAGAAATGTTGAACACATATACCTGGGCATAGGAGGCTCTGGGCCTTAAGCTAAACATCGACAAAACCAAAATCATGTGCACTCCCCCGAAAGATCACAACAATGCTATAAAAATCAGAGAAGAACTATTGGAATATGTGGCGGAATTCAATTACCTTGGCAGTTTGATTTCGGAAAAGGCCAATATTGACTCTGAAATTCAGAACAGGATTAGCAGCGTTTTCTACAATCATGACTTGAGTAGAAAAACGAAACTTGCAGTGTACCGAGCAATTATAATCGTCACCATGTTATATAGGAGCGCAACATGTTATATGGGTGCCGTACCGCCGACACATGAAAGCATTAAACAAGTTGGAACAGAGACATCTTAGACAACTCTTAAGAATCCGGTGGATCATGTCTCAAACGTATCGGTTCTTTAAAAAGCTAACTGCGAGAATATTGAAGTCATGGTCATAAAATTCCGCCTAAGATGGGCTGGTCACGTATGCAGAATGCAAGAAAACCGCATACCAAAATCTCTGCTTTACGGTGAGCTTGTAGACGGTAAGAGGAGGCCGGGTGACAACTGAAAAGGTACAAGGACATTTTCCACGAAAACTTAAAGGGAATTAACATGCAGAATGAGTGGGAAGAAGCAGCTCACAATAAAATAAATAAAAACGCCTTGTGTGGTCATCTTCTGATGTGTGACAAATACTCGTCAGCGAGTAATGGCAATATATATGTATATGTCTTACCCATGATCGGTTAAGTGCCCATGATCGGTTTTTTCTCTCAAAAAAAATGTCACACGCGATTCACGCGACTCAATTAAAAACCACGAATTATGTGGCCAAAATTCTAAAAATTCTGTTTATTATACGGAATTGTTCGGATTCATTAAGGTTCAAAAATACGAACTCGAACAAACATCTTTTTAAAGTTTGTCTCTTGATACAAATTACTCATCAATTGGCACCATTAAAAATATAAAATGAATTAATCAGCAATTCGTGATTTTAGTTGGAACTTAATTTCCATTTGCAAACTGCCTTCGAAAATATTTCTTCGCGAGTAGTGTAAAGGCCGTTTTATCTTTCTACTTTTTCATTTGGCGGCATACTAAAGTATTATACATTTTCTACCAAATTTCTAATTTTCTTTGATGCATATCGGGTGTTGCTCAAAATACTTAACGTTGTAGGGGGTATATCTTATAAGGCCCCCAGAGACCTCCTACAATTTTAAACGCGATTATAATCGCGATCACGACAACTAAACTCCTTGAACCTCCAATTGAACCTTTATGTAATAACCATATAATACAACTATAACATTTTTATTTTTAGAGATAAAAACCACATTTGGTAATAGTATATGACACAAATTATGATTGATTGACCTATTCAACTGTTTTCGGTCACTTCCTGTTTCACCGGAAATGACTACAACTTTTGATTTTTATATGGCACCTTTGCTATTTTTGTACTTTATTCGATAGAAAATGACACTCCGACTAGAATGACACCATGAAATAAAACCGTTTTTTAAATTTCATTCTATAGAGTGGTCGTGTTTAAAACCTAATTTTTAATCAAGGAGCCTTGGAAAAATAGATCTGATCGTCTAATGTTTTTTGTGTTTTGTTCTAATCGGTTAAAACATGCCCATTTTGAATCATATCTCTATTTTTGAAATGGAACGAGGGCAGTTCATTATCATATTTGGAAAAAGCATTTTTATTACGAATAATTTGGTACCACACTTGGTATTTCGAGTCAAATTGTCGTTATGAACCGCATGTTGCAATTTTAAATAAACAATATGCAAAAATGTCAAAAGTTGACATATGATATATCCTTCTATTCAAATTCAAATTCAAATTCAAATTTCTTTATTAGACCTCATTAAGTTTTACAGAATAATATTAGTATTAATAAATGTGTGTCTAAAGGGATCGCACCGCGATTAAAAAACCGATACAATGGCACAAAGTGCCAGAGTGGTGCGACCCCAAATACAAAATAGAAATAAATTAAATTATAAAAATAAACAGAATTATAAAAATTAAAATTATATAAAAAAGTGAAAATACAATTTTATCAGGGATGAGCGGAGATAAGCAGAGAGGCATAATGAAACAGTGTAAAAACCGGAACAGCAACCAATGACGGGCATATCAGAAGAACAAGACCTCACAAATCAGTCGAAGAAATTATAATATTTACGAATCTAGTAAATTATTTTTAATTTGTTTTTTATAATCTGTAAAGGATTGAAATTTAAAGTTATTAGAAATATTATTCCACAAATGTGGCGCTATGAAACTGAAAGATTTTTGGAAGTTAGCTGTTCGGTGTTGAGGAATTTTAAAATAATGCACTGATCTAGTCGAATGATCATGGTCGATGTAGTGAAACAATGAGAACAAATAGGGAGGCTGCTCTGTAGTTAAAATTCGATAAATGAATGTCATTAAATGAAATTGTCGTCTGTTAGTCATGGATAAAATAGATAAATTTTTAAGATGTGGCGTTATATGATCTCTAAAAGGAATGTTAAAAGAAAACCGTAGACACGAGCTTTGAAGTATTTGGATTTTTCTAGAGAATCTAGCGTTTATGGATGTACCATAAACAACATCGCCATAATCAAATAAAGATAAAATAAGTGTGTCACATAATTGATACTTAGTCTTTGATGGTATATATTTCTTAAGAGACGAACAATTCTTCAACCCTATATAAGCAGCCTTTAATTTAGTAGTTATATGTGCCTGAAAAGAAAGCTTCGCATGAAAATAGACTCCAAGATTTTTAGTCTCTGTAACAATGGGTATCGCTACATTATCTATATGGATATTCATGTTATCAGCCGTATTTGTAATTTTGTTTATATCACTACCAAATACTATAACACAAGATTTACCGGCATTTAATTTCAAATTATGATCCAGAGCATATTTATTAATTTTATTAAGATCGTCGTTAAAATTTAACTGAAATTGTGCCAAATTATTAGTATCTATTTTGCAATAATTTAAGAATCATCTGCATATTGCTGCAATTTAGAAAACTGTAATTCCTTATCCATATCAGCTACATATAACGAAAATAAAAATGGCCCCAGAATAGATCCCTGAGGAACCCCAGAAATCATAGGAATATAACTAGATTTTTGTTTTAAACTTCCCCGTTTCATGACAACACAATGTGATCTATCTTTTAAAAGGTTTTTTATCCATTCTAAAGAGCCGTCTGAAAATCTATATATATGATATCTATTCAGAGCGTCATTTCCTATCGAATAAAGTAAAAAAAAATCAAGGGTGGCATTTAAAAATCAAAAGTTGTAGTCATTTCCGATGAAACAGGAAGTGACCGAAAATAATTGAATTCGTCAATGAATCCTGATTTCTGTCATATACTAGTGATTTTGAAAAAAAAGCAAAAAAGTTATAAGGATGAATCCACACCCAGCACGTGTTAGCTTTATGGTATTATGCAATTTTTGACATAAAGCATTGAGGGGATGGACTGCTGATTTTGCTCGGACTCGCACTTCAATATGATTAGCAGAAAACGCCTGCTCGCGGTGGATTGCTGTGTCATTCAAATTTTAGTCATGTAGAATTTAGAATGTTTAGGAGGGGGCGAGGGGTGTCTCACTCGGGTAAAAAATGTACACGTACTGCCAAAATATCCTTCCACTGCTAAGCGACTGCCAATGACTATGAAGAAGACTGCCTATGACTGCCATGTAATTATTATAGGCGACTGCCATAAGACTGCAAATGACTGCCAGCGACTGCCAAGAAAATGTACAGGTAATTCCAATAGTGAGACACCCCTCGGGAGGGGAGTTAGTCACCGCGACCTTAAAGATCTATTGTGTGTTCCCCTTTCTTGAGTTACACTGAAAAAAATATTGTTCATAATATTAATGAACATTGATTATTAACGGTTGTTTCGTTGTGACAATGATTTTTTTCATTATATTAATGATTTGTTAATCATAGATCGATGCCTGATTTATTAATAGTATGAATCTAATTTCATCAATATAATGAAACTCTGGTTATTAAATTAATGTAAGATTTTAATTAATATAAGGAACGCGTTCATTGTCCCAATGAATGCGTTCTTTATTTTAATGCTGAAACTTTAATGAACACATATTCATTATATTAATGTACTAAATCATTGATTAATGAGTTGCCCAAAGCGCATCTCTGTGACAATGAACAATATTATTAATACAATGAACACACTATATTATATTAATGTACGCGGTTATTAATATCAGGAATAAAATATTAGGACTTAAATGGTGGCCATATTGATCGGTTCCTTTGGCACTTTAATAACGTCTGTGTGGTTGTGTTATTCAGTGAGGTTTTAGTTTTATTAGAGCGGTAAGTGTTCTCTTCAATATTTTAAATATTTTAAATAAAAGTCCTATCTAATTTGTTATGTTGTCAAATCAAATTCCGCTGTGTGAGATCTCTGGTGCGGGTATTCATTAAAACAGCGGTTTCCAAATATGTTTCAGAAGATAAAAAACAAAAAGAAGAAAAACATAGTACCAAGTCGAGGCATGAAACTGATTATGGTAAATTCTAATGATCTTTTGATATTCGGCATTTTAATTATTTTGATATATGTAAGTCGCTTTTGGAACCGGAACGAGATGCTGAGACCTGCCTTCAAGCCCTCAAATTCGACAATTTAACATCGGATCTACTTGATTCGACTTGGAAGGCCTGTTGTATTCGTCTAGACGCTATCAAGTCTAACGATACAGCTAATATAATGAAGAAATGGTCTTTTTATAGAAATCCCTCAGGATATCGACTGGCAAATTAATTTTCTTATTATAATTTACCCTAAAATTAATAATAACATTACTATTCTCTTCGTCGATTCGATTTTTTTTAATTTTTAACTTGTATATGCTATATCAAGTTTGAATAAATTATTATTAGTTTATTGCACTTGTTTTTTATTGCCCTAATGGAAAAATTTTCTGTGCTCGTAAGTAAGTCGGCACTATTGGTACTTTTGTTACCTTTGTAGCTAAGGGCTTGTTCAAATGGAAATCTATTTATAGTAGAATTATTTTAGGTAGTTGACTGGGAAATTACTATCAATGACATTTCATATCAATGACAGCGATCTTTATCATCGATTATACGGTATAACAAGAGGTACTAATAGTGTCGACTTTTAAATGTATAACTAAACATGTTATGAAATTATTTCATTATATTAATGATACGGTTCATTAATATAAGGATTTAGGTACATTATCTTAATGAAATCTGTTCATTGTACCAATGAATGTATTCTTCAAATTAATGAACACTGTTCATTGATCTAATGAACTTAAAGTTCAAAGAGTTAATGAATTACTTTTCATTGTGCCAATGAAATCGTTCATCGGTTCAAAATTAATGATTTAATTCATTCTATTAATGAACTTTTTCATTATATATTCTATATATAATGAAAAATACTCATCATACAGTCTCAGGACTTTGAAAAAAGGCAGTATCTGAGACGGCTCCATAGAGGCCAGCTCTCCATCTTCGACATCAGCCGTACCAAAGTTTATAGTATGAACGGTTGTCATCTCGGCGCGGCGCACTCAGTGAGTAGGTGTTCTGGTGTTTCCCCATTTTCTGCACAGAATTTGCATTCGCCGTTATTTACCAACATAAAACTACTGAGGTGTTCGTTGAGGAGACAGTATCCTGTTAGAAACCCCGTGAAAATCCGAAAACTGTTTTTACTTAAATCAAGGAAAATCTTTGATTTTTATTGGTCGTAAGTTCTGAGGAACTTTTTCGAGTGTCATTGACTGTTCTGATCCAGTTAGTGAAGTGTTCGCTCCTTTTCTAGCTAGATCGTTTGCATTGCCTTCTATCCCTTGAGGGCGGACACCCAGAGTAGGAGGACTTTATTTTCTTTGCCTAATAATTTGTTCAGCTTCTCTAGGCATTCTTTGACCAACTTCAAATTGATGGTTATTGAGTTGATCGCTTATAGTGCTGCTTAACTATCGGATAACATGGCTATTTCCTGTTTTCGATAGTTCCTACGATAAATTGTACGCATCTTTCGATAACGTAGATTTCTGCCTGAAGGATACTGAGGTAGGTTCTCATTAGTTCAACATATTTAGTTTTCGGTCAAATACTCCTATCGCTAAGTTTTAGCCATTCATACTTAGTATATTTCTAAATTGTTAACAGCTCATTGCTATTTTTATATCACTATGGAAAAGTCGCTAGTATAAATTCCGTTAATTTTGCTGACATTCTTATAAAGATATTATATTTAACTATTCATAACGAAGACTGTGTGTTTTGATGAACTACATATTGACCCCACATTTCAAATGTATTTGATTAAAATATAGATAGCTATCTTTCTTGTACGTGTTGTAGGTGTCTTATTATAATATCTCTATCATATAAAACTTTTGTTTTCGCTCTAAATAATAATTAATAGTTACCTATAAGGTCCTACTTCTTCAAAATGTGGCTTAACGGTAGGATCTGTAATGTCATCTGGATTTGTCCAGTTAAAAAGATACAGATTTAAATCTAAAGGCGGTTCATTAATTTTCCATGCCTTAAATGCCTCTAAAAGAAAAGAAAAACATTAAGTATATCTATAAGGTATGGATTTACATACGTAAAATGTATATCTTTTTTTTTTGTTAGAGAAGAGAGGAAGCGATTTACCGCCGAGGTTGGATTCGATGCGACATGACAGTACGATACAAGTAAAATGCATATCTTTATAGACAAATAATTACTGTGATTCTTCAAATATAATTAATATAAATTTAAATAATAGGTTTATATAAACCGTGTGGTGGCATCGTAACACGGGACATAGCAAATCTCATGTAAATTTTGAAAAGGTCAAATATTATCTCCCCAGATGATTTTATGCAAAAGTTGTATTATGTTTTTTTAAAGAGGTGTTAAAGTTGTACTTGCGTCTAGAATTTCGTTTTATTTGGAATATGCATCTAAAAATTATATGCAAAAATCTCCCTTCAAATTACTAATAATTTATAATACGACCCAGAGAAAGCTACAATTCGAATATAGGCCAGTCAATCTGGAGGTTGAGGTGGAAAAAATTAGTAACCAACCGATCTCAACGGGAATGAGTAGATAATGATCTCCTATTTAACCCCTCAAAAGTCCCATTCGGTCCCAGTGGGGGAAGTTTGAAAAAAATCGCCGCCATCTTGGATTTTTTCGTTTTTTTCAAATATCTCCGTTTGCATAACATTTTTCTAAAAAACTAAAGATATGTTTTCTGTAGAGAATTCAACAACATAAAACAAAACAACGTAAAACAAAACATTGTGACTGTTTCCAACGCTTTTCTGACACCAACAACAACAATGAAAAACAAACCATGGATGACCGATGAGATACTCTCCCTCATGGAGGACAGAAGAATTGCAAAAGTCGAACAACAACAACAAAGATACATCGAAATAAATAACACTATTAAACAACAAAGCCAACAAGCTAAAGAGAACTGGGTAACTGCAGAATGCCAAGAGGCGGAACGCATGCATGCTCTGCACGACTCTGTAAATTTTCATAGAAAACTCAAACAAATTACTGGCATCACAAAAAATGCACCAATACCTGCCCTAAAACACAATGGGAAATTGATTTTAGACCCGGTAGATCTATGCAGCACATGGAAAAGCTATGCACAGTTATCATTTGAAGACCAAAGAGAAGACAGACAACCTCTCAATTGTTAAGACTGGTCGGGCCCGGAAATTCTTGAATATGAAGTTCAGCATGCTATGAAAGCTATGAAAAATCGAAAAAGTCCCGGTCATGACAACGTGCATGCAGAAGTTCTTAAAATATTTGACTCAAAGCATCTTACATATCTATTCAATCGAATATACGATACGGGTAAAATTTCAAACGACTGGCTAAAATCAACTTTTATAACAATTCCCAAAAAGGCATCTCCAAAAGACTGTAGTGACTACAGACTTGTAAGTCTAATGAGCCATGCTCTGAAACTTTTTCTTCGAGTCATGCATGCTCGTATATACTCGAAATGTGAAGAAAAAAGCGGAGAGACACAATTCGGCTTCATTAAGGGGCTGGGTACCAGAGAGGCTTTGTTTTCAATCAAGCTACTAATCCAGAAATGTTATGATCAACGCCAAGATGTCTGTGTGTGCTTCATAGATTATCAGAAGGCTTTCGACAACGTTAAACACGATATTCTCCTAAACAGACTGCTCGAGATAGGAATAGACGCCAAAGACATTAGAATCATACAGGAACTATGTTGGAACCAAACCGCAGAGATAAGAGTTAACAAAAATTTATCCACAGACACCTTCAATGTCTGTCAAGGAGTCCGCCAGGGCTGTATACTGTCACCAATACTTTTTAATATATACGTCGAAAAAATATTTCAAATGGCCCTGGAAGGAGAAAGTGGAGGAATTAAGATTAACGGAGTTCCAATTAACAATATTAGATATGCAGATGATACGGCAATACTAGCACGAACTTTAGAGGATCTCCAGCAAATAATAAATAAGATAGGGGACATGGGAAATCGTTTCGGTCTTAAAATCAACGCTGCCAAGACCAAACGTATGGTAACAGGACGCCAGCCTACAATCAACACCGCATTGACCGTGGATGGAAATATTATAGAGCGAGTTCCACGATTTAAATATCTGGGTGCCATGATCAATGAACGATGGGACTGCGATGAGGAAGTTAAACTGCAAGAGTTTTGCAGAGTTCTCAGTTGGAGGCAAATTAGCTAAATTAAAGGTAGTCTTAAGGGCTTGTCCTGATGCAACCCTATTGTATAGAGTGTATCTCAGATGATTAATATGTTTAATATAGCTTGGGCAGTGATATAGCTTTAAAAGATAATTTAATCCTGACTGAAACAAGTCATCTTTGTTACCATTTTTTTTTCTAAAAATACGTCGAGGTATTGATAAAGATCGTCATCTTTTTTCAGTATCGACAGGCACATTTTTGACTTGTTCCAGTCAGGATTAAATTATTTTTTAAAGCTATATCACTACCCAAGCTATATCAAACATATTAACCATCTGAGATACACTCTATACAATAGGATTACATCAAGACAAGCCTTTAAGATTACCTTTAATTTAGCTAATTTTCCTCCAACTGAGAACTCTGCAAAACTCCATTTACTCAGGACATACTATCAGGTAACTGTAAAGATATATCTATTATAGGAAATGTTATAAGTTGTATTTGTTAGATTCAAGAATGGATTGGTAAGAAGTAAGATCCTTTACAATGGATGGAAGAAAGATCAAAAGGCAATCTAACACCTATTGCTCTTGTAGAAAACTGGGTCTTAAATGTTCTTCAAAGTATGGTCAGTGCAACGGAATCAGTTGCACAAACTTTTGTATTTTAGTTGAGGATGAAAATGATGCTCAGGATGACGTCATAGCAGATTTTATTTAACAACTTTAATTTAATAATCATTTTCTTAACAATAATTTTATTTAATAAATAATATTTTACCGTTATTTTTAATTGTTTTAATGCTTAAATTTATACTTGGCTTATCTATATTAAAACTATACTGTTAACGCAAAAATTATAGCTGATTGGTTTAAAAAACTGGAAAATTTATAAAACGTATAGTAAAAAATTGCTCTATCTCTATTACTATTTATTTTAGAAAAAAAAATAATTGAAGGTAAAATATTCTAAATTTAATTCTCTACAAAAAACATATCTTTAGTTTTTTCGAAAAAAGTTATGCAAACGAAGATATTTGAAAAAAACGAAAAAATCCAAGATGGCGGTGGTTTTTTTCAAACTTCCCCCACTGACCGAATGAGACATTTGAGGAGATAAATAGTAGATCATTATCTACAAATTCCAGTTGAGATCGGTTGGTTACTAATTTTTTCCACCTTTACATATAATACTCGGCTACGTTTACTGGCCTAATACCAGCAAAATAGGATTTTGTCATTATCAAGTTCGATGTCACTTTTTTGTTTACAGGAATTTAGGTGGCTTGAAAAGGGTGGTTCATTTTCTTCCGAATTGAAATGATCACCTACAAAAGAAATAGTTGACCTGAGAATAGTATTCGCGATGTATGACTTGTTTGCTGTTCATTACTCGAGACCTCTCTCATACCACATACATCCACAACAATATAACAAATAAATAGAGTGCCTTTAGTATCAAACCACTGGCACTGGTTTATTCTTTAAACTGTTGGACTTACTCGGTATAGGCTTTCCGGAGACTGAGCTGCGAACATATCTAACACAGCGGCAATACTATTTCCTGCAAAATGCCGTTTAACCATGGTAACTTTTTCAGAAGTTGGGAAATTCATAATTATTTTATACAAAATTACTGTATTTGGTACCTTTTTGTAAACAAAATGTGACATCGAATTTGACAATGACAATCGTCGTTTTGTTGGTATTTTAATTGTAGCTTCTCTGAGCCGTATTATAAATTTTACTAATTTGAAGGTAGATTTTTGCAAATAACTTTTAAACAACAAATCCAAATGAAACGAAATTCTAGAGAAAAGTACAACTTTAACCCCTCTTCAAAAAAGTCTCATACAACTTTTGCATTAAATCATCTGGGGAGATAATATTTCACCTTTGCAAAATTTACACGGGACTTATTCATAACCTTCAATGTAACTTATTCATAACCATGATGATCCGCCGTTAAATAGCCAAAGATGCGGATGTCGTTGAGAAATTAAATTGTATTTATCTATAACGACAGGCTAATAGCCTAAACGACACCTAATAGCCTACACCTACATCTATTATTATTAGCTGAAGGTACATTTAAAAATAGTAAGTACCCACTAATGACGGTAGATCATTAATTAACTGGAAGAAAAGAGGATTAGCGTTCTAAATTGAATAATTTTTGGTTTAATTCGTTTTTTTAACTATGGAGGAGTTTATTACTTTGAAATGTGTGTTTTTTCTTAAGTAATATTTTTATTTGCCTAACAGAGATATTGAAAAAACACAGGATTAAAAGTATATTACTCTGTACTTTCGGGTCGCTCTCAGGGGTCGGATAAAGCGGGTGTGTGGCCGAAGGAAATACAGGGTGAGTCTTAAATAAGTGCAAATATTTTCCGGGCTTGTATAGATCTCGATAAAAGAAACATATTTTCTCTTTACCATTTTTCAAATAAGTCCAAAATAAGCGAGTTATTTAAGTTTGAAAATTTAAAAAAAAAATATTTTTGGAAAAAATTTCAGAGCCAGCGGATTTTTTCTGTATTTGCATCCCTTTTAGTGCTTTAACCATAGAGAAAATCTGTAACTATGGTAATATCATAGATTAAGAAATTATACCGTAGAAAAATTTGCGGTGAACAGGCAGTTCTAAAAATTTTCGAAAAATATACAGGGAAATTTAACATCTTTTTTTTGCGAAAAAAACCTCATAGACGTGTTCCGGGGGTCGAAATATACCACCCCTGAAAATATGCACTTATTTTAGACTCACCCTGTGTATATTATATTTCAGAAATCTGCCTAAGGCTTGGCCCGATCCTATCGTGTTAAGCCACACCTAAA